AAGACCCGTTCGCAGACTCCGTTCCCCTCGTGGTGGTATGGGGTGGTGAAGTATCGTCCTATGAGCAAGAGCCGGCCGAAGTGAAAGTGATTATAACAGGAACAAAAATGCTGTGAGGCGGTAATGGAGAAGACTAGTCCATACGGTTTTCTAGTTGAGGGACGGGGGAAAGAGAAAAAAGAAAAAAACGGGTCTCAAAACTGTAGGAAAAGAGAAGAAAAGGAGAAAACCGAGTCTCCAAAACTGTTATCGATCTCCGAGCCTTACCCCGCCAATAGCTTGAAGCTATTGGCGCGCCTACCATTACTAACCCACGAATACCATATTCATGTTATGAAATACGTACTATCCAAAACGGCCGAATAATCTGCTCGTAATGATGATAGCTTTAAGCCTAGCGAGAAAACAAATTCTGTAAGTTTTCTTATAACGTACGTGTTGAAAAGGAGAAGAAGAAAAAAACCCGCGGTTCGTTCGCAAAAAGCCCTCTACCCCATCTCCAACGTATGTGTCAGATGGGTGACCACTAGGTCCTTTAGTTGAATCTATCGGAGGGCGAAAGAGAAAATATTAATGTTAAAAGAGAAAGCTACGTTTCGAAAGCGTCCGTGGGGACGTTCAAAGCAGAAAAAGTGTGTTTCAAAATAAGAAGTGGGTGCAGTTCGCCAGAAGAAGGAAAGAGAATAAACGGGAGAAACCCCGAACGCTGAGCTCAGCATGAGAGTATTGAAAAAGACATTTTAGAGACTTATAGTCAAAGAAATAAACGAAAAGTTTACTAAGGCTGCCGCCTACTAAGCGAATAAATGAAAAGTGAAAAAATCATATTGAAGATGCTCGGCAGCCGCTATTACTATCAGTTAAAAAGAGACTAGAGGAAAGAGAAGAAAGGCGTTTATTCTGGAGGCACAGCTGTGGCCATCAGCTGTGTCTAGGAGATGTCCAAAAGGAACGTTCAAGGAATGGGGGAGGCAAAAAGGAATACAGAAGAAGCAAAAAAAAAAGAACTGACCTCCGCCGGCGGCTCCGCTTCGCTGCTACCAGTTTGTGTTCGAGAATAACCACAGTATCGTACAAATATTTATCTGTTATTCGGGCTACAAGGAATAATAGTAATAGAATAGATCAACGCAATACGAGATGGAGGAAGGCGAACCAGGCAGGCGAGGGTCGTGGTCCGGCGTGACGGGGTCCAGGGGTCCGATCTTCTCTGTCCTCCCCGAGTGTTGCTTGAGCCAGCTTTTGTACCGCCGCGCCGCCGCCTCCTGTAATCAGCAGAAATCATCGGAGCAACAACTAGGCTGCTGAGCCTGACTACGACTTATTGATTTTTCTAGAGCTTTTACTTGTTGCTTTGCTAAGTCTTCTAAGCTCGTACATCTCCGCTCTTACATTATATAATTAGGACAATTGCTCCCTTGCACTATGTGATTTATGCGCTCTTCCATCTCTATAATATTAACTATATCAGTGAGAATATCGCGCATAGTCCAGATATTCTCTTGCGTTGGTAACGCCATACACCGGTCCGAAACCCTGCGGCGGATATTGACCGTAAACTTGGACAATATTTTTTGCGCAAGAAACGATCCATTCAGCGCAGCCCCCTTTTCTTGTAGTTGAAACACGATTGGTATGATGTTTTCAAGAAGTTGACGCTGTCCCGTAAGCGTCGCTTTCGGCGCTTCTGCACTTTCGAGGCGCGCTGTAGATTACTGATAAGGCGTGACTCATCACCGTATTTCGTGCGTAAGAAGGTGAGCGTATGTTCGTAATTGGCCTCGGTTACTGTGAATCTGCGCACTGACTCACATGCCTCACCGCGAAGCGCACTGATCAGATAATTAAACTTTTGAAGCAGCGTCAAAGATTGATATGTTACGTTGACAGCAAAAAGGGTCCAAAATTTTTCAAATTCCCAAACCTTTCCAGTGAAAACTGATACAGGTATAGCTGGGTGTTTCGGTTTTGCTATCCCTACCGTTTCGTGGTAGTTGTGCCAATATCATGATGGCGAGCGCGTACTCGTTTCGCTTCTAATTCGATGGCAAGAGTTTGCGCTTGTACCATGGCTAGATGGGCCTTATCCACATATTCTTGCGCTTGCGCCTCTTGTTATTCTGGTAGTTAGTCGATGTCGAGTCGTGCTTTATTTACAACTTTGGCAGACGCATTCAGCTCAAAAACTAACGACTCAATTTGCTGCCAGAGCGAAATGTCTCGTAAAAGAGGGGAATATTTAATTGAAATGAGTTCTTTACTTCTATCGGTCAGACCTACAATGTAGTTGCAATAGCGTGTAAGAAGAGCTTTTTGTGGATCGCAATGATGTTGGACCCACCATTTTTTCTCATAAATAAGATGTAAAACTCAATCGATTCGGTGGGTTTAAATGAGCAGAACAACGTAATATATAGAAAAAGAGGAAGAGTGGAAGAAAGTAGGTGATGAACAATACTATGAGGCAGGCTTTGAAAATGTTTCGTTGCCTCTTATCTCAGTTATTCTCGAAAAGAGTTAAAAGAGAGCGCTTTGGAAGAAGAAAAAAATCTGTCTCCGTAAATTCCTGATTTGAGACCAGGACGGAGAAAAAGGGTGCTCGTGCGCAATCCTCGGCGCACAGAAGTCAAATTATCAAAAGCAAAAAAGGGCGTACCACAGTACACTCGTCAGTTCAAGTCCTATAATAACCGATGCACCATAAAAATATTATCTACGCGCATCCCTCGACGATACAAAACCACACAATGGCGCACAGATATTTATCCCTCAAACTTGGGTAATTAAACCCTTTTAACAACACAGGTAAACAATAAGTAACAGCAATCATGACATATGAGGAGCAAGGCACTGACATAAATAACAATCAGACAATTATTAGCATTCTAAACTAAGGCGCATAAGGCGGCGAACTGACGAACATGAAGACGAGATGAAGGCGCACAATGGGGCGAAGTGATAGAAGTGAAGGAAAGTATTAAGGCGTACAGTGAGGCAAAGTGACGGGAGTGAAGAAGAGATGCGCACAGCTTTCCTTTCCCCCTTATATTCGGCTCGCTATGTTCTGAAGAGATGAGCTTCCTTGATATCGCAAATTCTTCTGCTATATCTTGAGAAGCGCATCGAAACTGCGAGCACGGCGCTATATTGTGAGAAGTGTATCGAAATTACGAGCACGGCACATCAGAAGCTGCAACGATCACGGTGATTCCGCGATAACTCCCATCAAGTCCACATCTAGTAATAAAAACCTTTTATACTAACAGAGTCCGCCATTGAAAAGTCAGCAATCGAAACCCTGTAAGCTCATATCGAATTTCTCAAGCGCTTCACTCCTCACTCCTCTTATACAGCTATTTTGAAACCACTCTATAACAAGGGACTTCTTTTTTTGGTGAGGCTGGGAACAGCAACTACTGCAAGGCAACACTTCAATTTTTTTCAGAGGCTTATTTCCTCTTGCCCATCTCTAGTGATTAAAAAATTTGTATAGTAAGAGAGTCTGTTATTTGATAATCCAGAAAGTGGAAGTACTGTAAGGTCTCATATCGAGTTTTTTAGGCACTTCAATCTTCACGACTCTTCTGCAGCTGCTTCAAAATCACTGTATGCCAAACAATCACTTTATTTTGTAAGGTTGGGAACAGCAACTACTATAGGGTCTCATTTCAATGCCTTTCACTAGCTCCTTTATTCAGGTCCACTTCTATTCATGAAAAACCTGATGTAGTATGCGTAGTATAATACGCATTATCTATATTTTTCAATCGCT